GCCAGGCACTGGGGGCTCAGGGAGCCGGGCACTGGGGGAGCTGGCACCGGGGGAGCCAGGCACTGGGGGCTCAGGGAGCCGGGCACTGGGGGGAGCCAGGCACTGGGGAAGGGACCTGGCCCTTTCCCCGTACCAGTGGAGGACGCACTGTGGGAATGCCGTATCCCGGCAGGGGCCCCGCTGGGTTAGTGCCTCGTCCCGGGGGGATAGCGCACGGTCTGGCCTTGCCGGGGCCCCGGGGCGGGGGGCGGGAGGGTGGCTAGAGCCAGCGCGCAGGCTGGGGACTTGTAGCGCTGGGGCAGAGCTGCAGTGTCCGGGGTAGCGCCCAGGACAGGGGGCAACCGGGACAGACAAGAGCCCCCCGCCCGCCTGGGATTCCCCCTCTCCAGGGTCTCCCCCAGCGGCCCAGCCCCTCCGATTCCTGACGGGATCCACCCCCACTGCCCGGCTCCTGCTGCCCTGACCTCCGGAGCTGCCAAGATTCCACTCACCCCTGCCCCACCGTGCCCCTCCCCGCCCCTGAGCACGGGGGGAGGGTCTGGGAGCCAGGACTCCTGGGTTCTATTCCCAGTTCTGGGAGGGCAGCGGGATCTAATGGGTTGGGGGTGCGGGGCTAGAAGCCAGGACGCCTGGGTTCTATTCCTGCTCGGATAGTGACTCCTTGTGAGTGAGCTGTGGGGGTGGGTCCCCTCTCTGCCCTGCCCAGGACGGGACAGTTCCTCAGGCCCATCCAGCCAAAGATTGTTCCATTGCCCCTAATCCCACATACACCAGGGGGAGCTGTCCCTCCCGACTCCTCCCCCAACTGCTGATTTATCATTGTAGGGTCTCTTGGGGGTGTACCCAGCCTGACTGCATGCAGGTTAGTGGAGCAACTCTGGGTTGGGCGCGGGGGGCGACAGGAATAAGAGGGGAGGGAGTCCCTGAGGCAGGGGTGTAATGGAGTGGGGAGAAGGGGGAGTGGGGTGGGGGCTCCCGCCGAGCTCGACGAAGGGGGGATGAGGCTCAAGCGAGCCTGGGGAGGCAGCCTTCCCCCACACACACATTGTCTGGGACTCAGAACCTGACTGCCTACGACTTGTCCTTTCCAGGCACCACAGCCCCAGACGAAGGGGACCCACCCGCTGGGGGAAGGTAAGAGACTGGGGTGAGGTGCGGGTTGGGGGGCTGCTGCCACGAGGCAGGGGGACGTGTTTGAGGATAGCAGTGCTGATGGGGCACATTTGGGAGTTGTTGGGGGTACAGGCACCTCAGCCCAGAGGTGGCTGCATCTCAGTACTGGCTGTAGGATCCCTATGTAATCAGCCCTCACACCCTACCCCAGAGGTGGCTGTAGCTATGTGTGCAGGATGTCAATGGGCACACTGTGGGGGGTGGGAGGAGGTGCCTTGGCCATGTCAGTTGGCCTTATCAGGGTGCGCTGACCCCGGCACTGGCCCCCTCTGACCCCCACAGTGATGCAGTGGATGGAGGTTTATAACCGCAGCTTCTGCCAGCCGAAGGAGATGCTGGTGCCCGTGAGCGAGGAGCACCCGGCCGAGGTGGAGCACCTGCTGGCACCCTCCTGCGTGCCCCTGCGTCGCTGCGCTGGGTGCTGTGCCGACGAGGGGCTGCAGTGTGTGCCTACCCGCATGCATGTGGTGGTGATGGAGGTAATGGGAGGGAGGGCAGGGGAGAGAGGAATGCCAGAGGGTGGGTGAAGAGCCAGGCACTGGGGGGAGGGGAATGCCAGGGGTGGGCAGACAGCTAAGGGAGGGGAATGCTGGGGGTGGAGGGGGAGCCAGGCACTGGGGGGGAGGGGAATGCTGGGGGTTGGGGGGGGGGTAGTCAGGCACTGGGGGTGGGGAATGCCAGAGGACAGGGGGTAGCCAGGCACCAGGGGTGGGGAATGCCAGAGGACAGGGGGTAGCCAGGCACTGGGGATGGTGAATGCCAGAGGGAAGGGGGTAACCAGGCACTGGGGGTGGGGAGTGCCAGAGGACAGGGGGTAGCCAGGCACTGGGGGTGGTGAATGCCAGAGGACAGGGGGTAGCCAGGCACTGGGGGTGGGGAGTGCCAGGGGGTGGGAAGAGCGGGTATCGGGGGAGGGGAATGCCAGAGCACAGGGGGGAGCCAAGGGAAGGTGTATGCTGGGGAGTTGGGCCTTGGCATCACACTACATAAGGTGTGCTGATCCCCCATCCCTAGGCTCTTGGTGCCCCCCTCACTCACCCTTTCTCTGCCCCCCAGGTGATGAAAACCCGCTACCTGCACAGCCACCTGGGCCAGCTGGCCTTCGTGGAGCACAGTGCCTGTGAATGCAGGTGAGGGGGGTGTTCATTGTTGAGAGTATGGGGGGCATTGATGGGGTTCCCAAAGCATCTCTGCACCCACAGGGCTCCACCAAGTTGTGACCCCACTGTCTCCAAGCTTAACCAAAGCTTGAACACCCCACTGCAGCCAGTGACCCCCCAACCTCAGGCAGGCAGCCCCACAGAGGCACATGGAGGGCCCCTGAGCTCCCCAGTTCCTAGGGTGACTGCTGTGGTCTCTCCCCCTTGGCACTGTGCCACCCCCCATTTCAGGGGGCACCCCACTCTCCTCCTAGGGCATCGCACTGCCCCCCATAGGTTGATCCCCTTTTGGGGGGGCAGTTCTCAGCAGCCCCCATTTCCCTATTAACCTGGCGTCCCCTCTTTTCTTTTGCAGACCAAAGACAAATAGCAAAGTAAATCCAGAAAGGTAAGGACCCCCAGCTCCCCGCATCCCTGCTGGGAGAGGCCGGGGCTGGAGCAGACCGGAGCTTCCCCCACAGCTAGTGCTCCCGCCCCACTCCCTACAGCGCCCCCTGCTGGCTGAGAGAGGAGCTCAGTTCTGATTCTCTTCACAGGCCTGTGCGGCCCAAGGGGAAAAACAGCATTGGACGCAAACACAAAAAGAAGAGACCCCCTGAACAGGACTCCCCCCACCTGTATGTCCAGGGACCCTCATGCACCCTCCAGTCCCTGCATGCCCTCCACTTCCTTACTAACTCTGCTTGCATTGGGGGGCATTGAATTGGGGTGAGCAGGGAGGATCAGGTCAATGCTCCCCACACCTTATGGGGGTTCACTTCTAACCGGGGGATCCCCATGCCCCCCACTCCTGTACCTCATGGGGGATCAAAGGAGGGGTGGACTACCCAGCCCAGCAGCATCAAGGCCCCCTCCTGCACCATGAGGGTTGGGGCGAGGGGGTTCCCCCCTCCCCTATGTGGAGACCCTCTTGAATTGGGGCTGGAGGGGGTGCTGTTCTATAGGAGTTCCCTATACACTCTAAAGGGTGGGTGAAGGCCCCCTGTTATATGGCAGGCAGAGCAGGGGACCCCCAGAGGTTCTGGGGGGCCAGGAAGAGGATACTTCCCTCAGTGTGGAGGTGGGAGTGGGGGGTTCCAGCACCATGCCTCCAGGGGCTGAGATCATCTGGATTCTTTCCCTGCCCCCAGGCCCTCCTGCCCACCCTGCTCAGACAAACGGAGGCGCCAGGATCCTCAGACATGCCAGTGCCGCTGCCGGCGCAGGTCCCAGCACTGCCAGGACCGGGGCTTGGAGCTCAATGAGCACTCATGCAGGTGAGACCCCCCTGACTCCCCCCACCTCCCTCCAGGCCAGAGACACCTCAAACTCCTTCATGGACCAGACAGACCCCCCCAACCTCCTCCTGGACCAGAGATCTACCCAAACTCCTTCACAGACCAGACAGATCCACTGACCTCTACCTTGACCAGAGACACCCCAAACTCATAGACTAGGAAGATCCCCCGACGTCCCCCTGGCCCAGAGACCTACCCGAACTCCTTCATGGACCAGACAGACATACACACCCCAACCTCCCCTGGACCAGAGACCTACCCAAACTCCTTCATGGACCAGGCAGATCCCCACCAACATCTTGCCATGGGCCAGAGGCAGCCATGACCCCTCTCAGACAGACAGACACCCATCTCCCCTATGGGCTGGAGATACCCCCTGAACTACCCTCACAGGCCAGACAGGCCCTCTCCAATTAGTGCTGCAGGATAGAGCCCCCCACTCCTCCCCCATCAGGCTTTGGGACAAGGAAGGTGATTCTGTCTGGGGGAGTTGGGAGTCCTGGGGTTGGTGTCCCTGAACCTGCATGGCCCCTCCAACTGCCCATAGCCACTCTGTTCTCCCCCGAGGTGCGAGAAGCTGCGCAGATGATCTGACGGGGGAGGGGGGTGACCTGGGACCAGCCTCTCCCCCCCCACCCCAGCCCAGCTCTTCATTGGATCCAGGACAAGACTCTGGCCCTGAGTGCCCCCTGCTGGAGAGGAGCCCAAGGAAGACGAGCAAGGCTGCCCAGGAATGGACCTGATGAGAGGACTCTTGGGACCATGTTGGGGGGTCAGACCCCATTATCCACTGCCTGGACAGGACCTGTCAGGAGGGGCTGCATCTTGCACGGCCTCTCGTGGACCGGGGCAGCCAGATCCCGGATTTCAGGGCCCGTCCAGGATTGGGGACCAGATCCTGAGGCCCCTCCAGGACTCTGGCTCCCAGATTCCTTTGATGCCCACCAAGGCCGCCCCAGCTCTGCTGGCCAGACTCTCATCCCCTCGTCATTATTTAAAGTTCCACACACACCCCTCACTGCCCCGCTCATCCCCAAACCCCTTTAATTTAATACTTGTCCTCACCTTCCTCTCCATCCCCCCCGGATCAAACCCCGTTTCCCTGCCGGAGCCAAGGGGAGGCTGGGCACCAGCTCGAGGACCCTCCCGGGGCACGTCCTGCTGCTGTAACTGCCCGCACAGTGGTATCCGGCTCTAAAGCTATTAAATGGATGAGACATGACGGCCCGCAGAGCTGTGAGCGCACGACCCCCGCAAACACCTATAGGGGTCGAGGGAGCATGCCTCACTCTCGGGACTCGCCGGATTGGAAGGGGCTGCTGTTCTGTGGGGCGCCCTATATACTGCACTGGCTGGGGAGGTCCTCGCTGGAGGAGGTCCCCTGTTGTGGAGGGGAGGAAGGTGGAGAGGGAATCCTTGGGGGTTATTGGCCTTTCACCTTTGAGCCGGACTTCATTTATGCTCCACAAACGTGTGGCAGCCTTTACACCCACAAGCTCTTCACCCCAGGGCTGAGGGCTCCTTCATGCTTGGTGTGTGTGGAAAAATTACTGCTCCATCCTAGAGGCGGCTGCATCTCAGTGCCAGGCAAGGGATCCCTCTATAAAGAGCCCCACCCCCGGCACCCCAGTCCAGAGATGGCTGCATCTCAGCACCAGGTGAGGAATCCCTCTATAAACAGCCTCCACGCCCCACCCCAGAGGTTGCTCCATCTTGGTACTGGGCAGGGGATTCCTGTCTGTACAAGTGCCATAGTTTGGAATCCTTTGGAAACACAAGGTGCTGGTAAAGCATGAGATGCAGTTGATGTTCTATGTGGGGATACTGGAAAAACAGGTGGGCTGGGTCAGCAAGGGGCTGTGGGTCAGGATTGAGGGGCATGGGCAGAGCTGTGAGGGTGGGGAGCCCAGGGCTGGACTAGCAAGGGGCTGTGGGTCAGCATTGAGGGGCAGGGGCAGAGCTGTGTGGGTGGGGAGCCCAGGGCTGGGATAGCAGGAGGCTGTAGGTCAGCATTGAGACCCATCAGAGAACAGGATGGAGGGAATATGTGGGGGATTCCCTTCCTGGCTCTGGGGCCTGTCCCCCTCCCTTGGGAGTATGCAGAACTGTCACTCTAGTTCCCAACACCAGTGAATGGGCCCGGCTGTGCTGGTGCTGGCATTGCCCACAGAGACGTGCTGCACTTCATGACCAGGCTGCAGCCCTGGGAAAAAGGGAGGGGGTGGATCCTGGCAGAGCCAACACCTGCCTGTGTGAGCCACACATAACACAGGGATTGGGGGCAGCTCATGGATGAGCCCAGCTCCGCTGCCCCCCCCCCCACAGCTTGTGCCCAAGAGCAGGCTTCCTAGGTACCAGGGGGAGGGGCAGGGATCAGGGCACATCATATACCTACAAGGGGGAAGAGTGCAAGAGTGAGAGCTACGGGGCTCCATCCCCGCTCTCAGAGGGGAGTGAGGTCTAGTGGGTTAGAGCTGGCAGGGGCTGGGATTCAAGACTCCTGGGCTCTATCCCCAGCTCTGGGAGGGGAGTGGGGTCTAGTGGTTAGAGCAGAAGGGGCAGGAGCCAGGACACAGGCTCACAGCTCTGCCTGTGCCACCTTGGCCTGTTCTCCACCTATATGTGCCACTCACCCAGCTTGCCTCATCTGCCCTGGGCTTCTCCAGGTGCTGAAATGGCTCCTATTTCAGCAAAATGTGGGGCTAAACCTGATTCCTACATATTCGCACAGAGAAGGCAGGGTGCCCTTGCCACCCAGCAGGGGGAACTGAGGCACACAGATGGGGGAAGGATGGCCCAAAGTCTCACATGGATGGAGCTAGGGCTAGAATCCAGGAGTTCTGACTCCCAGGCCCCCTGCTCTAACCACTCAACCCCACTCTGTGGCTCTGATGTGTTGATTCCAGCTGGATAAACTCCCAGAATCCAATGGCTGGTCAGGAGGGGGGATCTGAGGGCAAGCCTCTGCCCTCCCGCACATGCCATGGCCTCAGGGAGCCTGGGGGTGGTGGGGGCACGGCCTCTGGCCGATAAGGAACTGCGCAGCCTGGCAGAGGGCCTATAGCTGAGCACTCGCTGCCAATCCCTTATCAGTCCATGGCTGTGGCCTCCTGCTCTGGTGCACGTAAGCTGCTTGGGACAGGGTGGGGGGGGGCAGGGCCATAGGCTGGGGGTGCCATATGGATCTGGGGTCCAAAGGCAAGGGGTCAGGAATCCTCAGCAGGTGGGGTCTGACTCCAGAAACAGTGCAGCCTGCACACCAGGGGCCCAAGCCAGGCAGGGGACAGGGTCCTGGATGCCAGGGTCTCACACCAGGCTGGAGGGGTGCTGTTGCCCTGACACTGGGCCCTCAAGCCAGACTGGGGTTCCAAGCCAGGCTTGGGGCAGGGCAGCCCGGATGCCAGGGTCCCGAGGCAGGATGGGAAGGTGTGAGGCAGATGCAGGGAGCTGGAGAGTCAGGGCTGCTTGTTTGTCCTGCACCCGCTTGTTTGTCCTGCACCCGCTGCCTCCAGACTTTGCCCCCACCCAGAAGCTCCAGGAAATGGCAGGGGGAGGGGTGGAGGGGCGACTTTGACCCCAGAGGCACTAAGTGCAACCTGAGACATAAACACCCCCCAGCCCTCCCATGAGCAAGAGGGCGGCGAGAGAGATGGCACCGTGCCCCATTGGGGGAGGACTGGGAGCCAGGACTCCTGGGTTCTATCCAGGGCTTGGGAAGGGGTTGAAGACTGCCAGGGCACTGGGCTTTCCCCCCACGGCTCCTGCCCAGCTGATTTCCATTCTGGCCGCACTTTGGTCCCAGTCAGAGCCCTCAGGAAAGTCAATATTTGGAGAGTCCCGAGGGGGGCTTGGCTGGCTCCCCAGGCAGCCCCCCCTCATCCCCCTGAGACACAACCCCCCAACCCCTGGCCAAGGCCAGTGGGGAAATGAGCCAGGGTCTAGGCATTGGCACTGCTGCAGAGTGTACTCCATGCTGGGCAAGCGGGGGTGCCATGCAGCTGGCAGGGCACAGAAATACTGGGCTACCCTCCACCCCAGCTGTACCAGTGTTTCTCAATCCTGACCCACAGCCCCCTGCTAACCCAGCCCTGGGCTCCCCAACCTACACATCACTTGCCTCACGAGGCAAGACCCATGGGTGAGGGGGACAGGGCTCGAGAGCCTTGGGATCAAAAACAAAGGGGGCTGGGGCAACAGCCCTGGGCAAATGGAAGAGGGCTCAAGCCAAAGCAGCCCAGACACCAGTGTCTGAAGCCAGGACAGAGGTGTCATGACTCGGATGCCAGGGTCCAAAACCAGGATAGTGTCATGGCTTGGATGCCCAAAAGCAAGGACAGGGGTATCATGACCTGGATGCCAGGGTCTGAATTCAGGTTGGGGGTGGTACAGCCCAGACATCAGGGTCTCCAGCAATACCCAGGGCCAGGAGGGTTGTGTTTGGCTTACGTAAGCTATAATTACCACCACCCTAGTTTGCAACTGGCTCATAGCTATGGCAGGAGACCTCAGATCTCATCTAATCAACCCATCTTCTGGCCAAATGCCCTCTGGGATTCCAGGAGGGAGCAGCACAGCCCTGCAGGCCCCAACGATGCCAGGGACCGAGCTGGATGGTGATGTTAACCCCTTTGCATCAGGCACCTCTGAGGGCAATAATGGGACCCCCCATAAACCTCTTGCCTTCATCTTACTACCCCAGCCAGCCACCCCCCACTGCCTGGGCACTGAGTGAATGGTGCCAACGGCCTACCCCAGACAGGGGAAGCATCAAATCCAGCCCTGTCACCCCTGCACCCCAGCAAGCCAGGTGGGCACTTGGCACTGGAAAAGGAAAGGGAAAGAGAAAGGGGGAGCACCCTCCCCTCCCACCAAGCCCGCTCCCTCCAGCGCTGTCATGGGGCACTGGCACCCCCTAGTGGGCATAATGAGCATGGCCATGTGGGGAAGGTGCCATTTCTCCTCTGGCCCTGGGTCAGACTGAGCGGGTGAGCCCCAAGAAATGTGTGGGGTGTGGGGGTCAGGAAGAGGGTCTTGGGGGATCACAGGAGCTGGGGCAGATCCTGGGAGATACTGATGGATGCCAAGGGTCACTAGAGATGGGGGCACAGAGCGGGGGAATGGCTGGGCCAAGGCAGGGGCATGGGGTTGGTGGGGGGGCTCTGGGACTGGGGGGGTCAGGAGTCGCCATGAGCCATCGGGGTCCTGGGGTCAGTGATGGGCACGGGGGCGGAGGGGTCACATGGGGTCAGGGGTCACATAGGGTCAAAGAGCCATATAAGGTTATCTGAGGTCACAGAACATCTTCCTGAGAGCTGAACCCCGCCCCCCGATGGACGCCATTTTGCGCCGCCAGCAGCCAGACGTCACTGCCCTTGCATCTGGTCACGTGACGCAGTGCTGCTCTGGTCACGTGATGGGGAAGATGGCGGCCCCCAGGGCGGCTTCCGGGCCTGGCTAATCAGGAAGTGGGAGCTGCCGGCGGCTGCGCAGAGGGGTTTGGAGCGGGGTCTGGCGAGGAGGTGAGAGCCTGGGATGGGGGGCCCCGAGGGAGCCCAGGGGAGGGGGGCCCCAGCACGGGACGTGGAGCCCCAGGAGAGCGGGGGTCCAGTGAGAGGGGCGAGGGGCCCGGAGAGGGAAGGCCCAGGTCATGGGGAGGCTGAGCCCGGGGCTGTGGGGACCCAGGA